GACAACCACCTAGGGTAGTCCACATTTTTGATGAATTGGGCCTCGAGGAGCTTGTCAACTTTTGCGGCTATAAGAGTGTTACGCTCCGGATTGAAAATGCGTTGCTTCTGGCGGTGGGGTCGAAAATGGGGTTCGATGCTGAGGCGGTGGGTTATGAAGGAGGGGTCGATGCCTGGCATGTCAGAATGAGTCCAGGCGAATACATCTCTGTGCTCGGAGGGGGTTGTGGAGCAGTGTGGTCCGGGGTTCTTTCTTGGTTGGGTGGAATGTCTGGAGGTGGAGCAGGGAGGTTTCTTTGGAGCAAAGCATTGATCAGGGCCTGGTTTTGCTCGGCTATGCGGTTAATACTGTTTGTAAGTTCGATGATGTACTGTGGTGGGTTGTTTGGATGGGAAGGGTCTGTTTGATGATCGATGGTATTATGATGGAAGGCCATGGACCTAATCGTGACCATACACCTGGACGGGTGAGAGGAAAAAGGGTAATAGTGAGAAAGGAGGGCTCCGGCGATAGCGAACACAACTAGCGCACGAATAAACCACAAGGTTCCCACAGACGGCGCCAACTAATGATGCTGTCCGTCTCGGGTGGATGGGTCGGGCTGGTCTAGGCTCTTCCAGTTCCATTTTGGGGTGGTGATTCCGTCAAATGACCTGCATGCAAGTCCAAAGGGGAACGGGGCAGTCCCCCAGTGAACCCTCCGGTGTGAGAATTAGTAGAGGAAGAAGAAAATGTAGAGAGAGAGATAGAGAGATAAAAAACTTAACCTCTTTCTTGTCTTGCTATTCTTGCTTATATCCTTTGGTAATCATTTCATTATTCCTTGTGACGTGCCCCCTTCCGCCGAAAGCCTGTGCCGTAGCTTACCTTGTTCAGGGTGAGGGGGCTCTGTTCCGACGGGGAGGTGTTGTCGTAATAAATGCTGTGATGGGATGCATTAATGGTGATGTGTTGTGGTAATAACTCTGCGGATCTTTGTCTGCTGATGTGGACCGTGTTCCACCTGCCATGTGTCCGAATGCCATTGGCCCCCCATGCCTAGATGGCCTCCAGCTGTCCTGGGCTTTGCCAACCAGGTTATGCTATCGGTCCTAGGCGATGGGTTCGGGGTGGTTTGCTGTGGGCCGTATGCCTCGTGGGCCTATCCATGTCAATATTAATAATAATAAAATTATTACATAAGAGAAGCTGAATCAAACATTGGAGGATTACATGATCTAATTGAAATTGATTTCTTATTCATGGTACCCTTCCTACATAACGGTGAGCAGTAGAAATCTTATTAAGAGGGGATCCAATTACATACAACAAAAAATTAATTGCAAAATTTATTTAATCACATTATCACAAAAGTTTTGTACATATGTTGTATTGAAATATTCATTTTTATAATCATAATTTATATATATATATATATATATATATATATATTTTTGTAAATGTCTATCAGCTGAAAATTTTTAATAAGCTTCTTTTAGATATTGCACAAAATATATGATAAAAAAATAATAACGTATAAGCATTTTTTTCACATTGATTATAATCAAATTGAATAGTAACTAACACTAATTAAAGTCAAAATCAAAGCTTATTTTGGTCATAACCAAAGTTACCACATTGAGCCGTAACGAACACCATTTTGAGATATAATCAAACATCATAATGGAATGTAACTAATTTTTATTAAATAATTTGGTAGCCCTTAATCATAATGGCCCAAAACTAAGCACCATAATAATTGTAACTAACATTAAATTAACTTACAGACATATAATATTTCAATACAACAGAATGCAAAATCTTATTTTTAACCAACTTTCGAAATTCCAATAGTATGCAAAAAGAGTTGGAACAAGACTTATAAGGGGTGGAACGAAAATTAGGTTATGAAGTGAATCCAATGACGTAAAAATGAGGTGAAACAAAATTACGATGAAGGAGATATAAGTGTTTGAATATGTGTGTTTGAATTTGAAAATTGTGTCCAAAGAGAGAAAATTTGTATTTTTTGCCAACTTTCGGAGTTTCAACAGCATGCAAAAAGAGATGGAACAAGTCATATGAGGAGTAAAATGAAAATTAGACCATGAAGTGAATCCAACGACACAAAAATGAGGCGAAACGGAGTTACGACGAGGCGTATGAGGGGTGGAATGAAGTGAATCCAACTATGCAAAAATGAGGCGAAACATAGTTACGATGAGGGAGATACAAGTATTTGCTCCATTAAAACCCACCAATGCTACAATGCTACACCTACTAATCCTCGGAAGCTAAAAAAAAAAAACATATTTTAACATGATAATGGCTTTAGTAAAGCCAAGTACTAAAATATACAGTGTAAATATATTTTTTAAAATATGTTTTATGTTTTTTTCTTTTGTTTTATCTTGAAAACAGCGTTTTATTCCAACAAAGTTTATGTTAAAAACGTTGGGCGAAAAAAAAAAATTTCTGTTAAAATCGCTATTTGTAATAGCGTTTATTATGTTAAAATCGCTATTCTTAATAGCGTTTTTATGGCAAAAAAATTTTGTGTATAATCGCTATTAGAAATAGCATTTTCTGGCAAAACAGTTTTGTGTAAAAAGCGCTGTTCTTAACAGCGTTTTCCTTGGGAAAAAAATTAACCCTAGAAGCGCTATTCGGAACAGCGACTTCTTAATCAAAGTCGCTATTTGTAATAGCGATTTTCCTGTTCATCTACTTTTGCGCTCCTAACAGTAAAAGCGCGAATAGTAATGGCGCTTTAGCTTAGTTTTGAAATTCCATCAGAAGTTGGCCTAGTTTTAGAAATACAATGTAAAAAAGGCTTATATTAAGAAAAGACCCTAAAAAGAGGGCTTGAGTACGTACCTTGACCTTTTATAGAGAGTCTTTGTATTGAGCCATTGGTGATGGCAGGCCTTAGTTTTGTTGGGCTTTGAGCCATATAGGTTAATCTATTGACCCAAACCTTGATTTATTGTATATGCATCAGCAGCCATCCTAAATCCGTTCAATTGACAAGATCGAGTTAATATTACTACCTTCATATAGGGTTGCAAAGGAATAAGCTGTTTATAAACAACTTGAGTTCAGCTCATTTAAAGCTCTTTTGAGCTCGACTTGTTACTAAATGAACAAGGTTGAGCTCAATTTTTAATCGAGCCGAACTCGAATAGCCCTAAACTAGGTTCAATAAGGCTTGTGAACATAAAAATAAATAAATAAATATTCAGTAACCTATTTTATTTTTTATTTATTTTTGGTGTTTGTGTAAATTTACATATTTAATTGATGAAATTTATTATTAATATAAGTATTATTATATATTTTACTCATAATTATATATATATATATATATATTATCTTAATAAGTAAATTAATTTAAATTAATTTTTTTTTAAGTTGGAACTCAAGCTCGAACTCAGCTCGTTTATGTAATCGAGTGAGCTTGAATTCAACAAATATTTGACGAGCCGAGCTTGAGCTCGATTTTTGAAGCTCGACTAGAGCTCAATTTGAGTTCAAGCTCGACTAATTCTTTATAAATGAATTTAAATATTCAAAAACTCGACTCGACTCGACTCATTTGTAACCCACCTTCATAATTATCCCTGGGACATCCTGTTTATTATTTCTTTGTAGACACTTCATCTTTTGAACAGGTAACTGGCCCAACATAGGACACCAAAGAATCCGACTAAAAAAGCACGAGGAAGGACAAAAATGCTTTTACAGAATCCATGGAAATAAAAGGTTCTTCGACCACTCTAATAGAGAATAATTTACCTTTAACATAAAAAGTTGAGTTGAATAATCTGATTAATCAACTGGAATACTTCACTAGCAATTATAACTTTACCTCTCTGAAAAGCTTGCCCTTTCAATGTTGGAGTATATACAATTACAACTTTGCCCTCCACTGGTGTTTTAGCTCTCCAAACATTTGGAGAAACCTACAATGGTTTAGCACTTCATTTCAACATCTTTTACTCCGTGCATGAATGTCATCGAGCCAGTTCAATAGCCATTTTCTACTAGAAGAAAGCATGTTCTTCATGTCACGCATTGTCCTATTTTTATTTTTATTTTGGGTAAATAAAAATTTATTAAAATGTTGTTTGACCAAGTTAGCAAAAGAATCACAAATTTTAAAATATAATTAGATGAAATTGTGAATTCAGAAAGTAGAATATGAAAAATGTTTGGGAGTTCTAAATTAGGAGCACTAAAGGAGCTCTAGAGAGTGGGTCCCATTGACTGATGTGATGTTTTGGCCTTAAGTTTTTTTTTTTTTTAAATTTCCACCTCATTAGTGGTTCCTCCCAAATTAGTGGGATGTATCATTATTGAGTAGAATATTTTACCAATAATTTAGAAATTGCGGTATTTTATTAGAGTAGCTTAAGAATGGTCGATAAGATACACAAAATATCAAAATATTTATAATATCAATTCATTATCTATATATTATTATTCCAGTCCAAATTTATTCTCAATTTTCAAATCTAATGATTTGACAATCAATTAAAATATCTAACACAACTCACTTTTATATTTTCTCTAATTATAGTCGATCATTTCTTTTACATAAAACTGACTTTAGAAGGTGAGTTTGTATATAATTTTTCTTTAAGTATTTCAAAACATTTTCCTGCATTCTAATATATTTTATACAATTTTTTCAACACTAAAAATATTTTAAAAATTTCTTTTGTATAATGTTATTAAGAATAGATTTTTTAGTTAAATTAATCACAAAATAATAAAATAAGTTTAAAAATCAATACAATAAAATCTTATATCCAAATTATAATTATTTTATTTTTTCTTTTACAAAAATTAAAAATCAAAAAAATCAACTCAAACAAATTTTTTGACCAAAACTAAAATAACTAAAAAATTAAAAAAAAAAAAAAAACCCAATTGCCAAACGGCAAGTAAAATCAATTTGGATTTTAATACAATTTTGACTAAAGGCACGCGAGCTATGTCCATGTTCTGTGTTCTCTCTCTCTCTCTCTCTCTCTCTCTCTCTGTCGTCTTAGTCTATTGGAATAATCAACACGTTCTCTCTCTCTCTCTAAAAATTGACACGAGAGAGGGGCTCTGCGTTGTTCATATGAAGCGTTAAAAAAGAGAGGTTATGGCATACAACAGGCTGCCGAGCAGCGGCCACAACAGCCCGTCGTCGCCGCCGTCGTCGCCGCTGCGGTCGCCGAGGCTCCGGCACAGCCGGTCGAAGGGAGGGCGGTTCTCTCCGGCGCAACCCCCCAGAACCGTCGCCCAGCGTCTCGCCGGCCTACTCCTCTCCGTCCTCCTCCGCAGACAAGGCATCTTCCTCTTCGCTCCGCTTCTTTACATCTCCGGCATGCTCTTCTACATGGGAACTGTCTCCTTCGACGTTGTTCCGATCATCAATCACCGTCCTGCTCCGGGCTCCGTCTACCGGAGTCCCCAGCTCTATGCGAAGCTCCGTCCCGAAATGGATGCGGACAATTCAACCTCCGATGCGGTCAGTGATTCCATTTCTCTTTCTTCCTCTTGATTTGATCCAATCGAGTATTGTGTGCCAATTTTGGATACAAAATTACTACTTAACTGTTAGGGATGTTTATAGATTAGTTAAGATCACGTTATGCATATACTGTTGGGGCTTTAAGCTGAATCATTGACATTTGGATTAGAATTTAGGGAAATTTGTGTTATATAGGTCTCTTACTGTGTATAGATCTGTTGATAAGTTTATTATACTGAAGAATGAGGTGTTGTTTTTACATCAAAGGAACTAGTTTGCTGCTTGTTGGCAATGCATATACCTGAATCTTTAATTCTGTTTACTTTATTAGAATGTTTTGTTGTGGAACCACGCACAGTAGTTTGAGAATATTCTGCCAAAAAATGGTGGTACTTGTCATTGAAATATTGTTGCTGTGCTTCTATTCTATGAATATAACAATGGTTTCAATTTTTTTTTATTTTTATTTTATTTTTTTTTATATTTTTTATAATGTATTTGAATAACAGCTAGTCCCTTGGGATTTTATGTTTTGATATGAATTTGACAAGGAACTATGGGATTTTCATTTATTGTTTTCTCGTCTTACTTACTGGTGTTGACATAAGGTGTTGCATTTACTGTAGATATCTACTATATGGAAACGCCCTAAAGATTATGAGTGGAGAGCTTGTATAAACAAATCGACAGGAGGTATGTCAATACTGAACCTGCCACTCTGGGAGGCCATTTTGATATTTTTATGCTTTGGTTTACATTTATATTTGTCATTTCTTTTGGATTACATTTATATTTGTCATTTCTTTTGGATCTCTGAATCACCGATCACAAGCTATTTTGTCTATTAATGCCCTTTAAATTTTCACCTAATTTTGTACTTAATCTAATATTATCTCAATTAAATCTAATTTAAGTTAAATACTAAACTAATTTCTATTTAATTTTTATTATAATGTATACAATAACTAGAACATGTTAATATTAATTACTAAATAGATAATAGTTTGGCTTAGGGTTTTGGACGAAGAAGATGAAAAATGAGCATTTTTGTCTTTTTGCATTGAAATTTGACTTTTAAATTTGTTAGAAGGCGCGTGTTGATTTTTTAACAGAATGGATCAAAGTGCTGAACAGTTAAAACCACAAGGGGGCTCTCAGTCTATTATTGAAGTAAAGAGGTGAAGAGCACATGACCCAAATCATAAAGGGGTAATCATTGGGATGCTCGTCTACTATTTATACTCCAAATGGTGAAGAACTCTTTGATTGGCGTTTATTGAAAGAGCAATTACTTCGCTCTCTTGCAAGACAATTAGGCTAGGGAGAGTGAGATCTTAGAGAACAATATGGATTATAGAGAAGATAAACACTGGTGACTTCACAACCTGACAAAATAAAGAACAGTGTTGTGAAGTCACCTATAGTTTTTGTTTTATTTTATTTTAAATTTTGTTTCTTTTATAGTGGAGCTGGATAGAGGAAAAGTTTGGTATCTACTATTTAGGCTTTTTAAGATTTGTCTAGAAAATATAAATAATTTTTTTTATTAAGTATAACAGAAAATAAGCAAATATAAATATTTGTAATGATAAATCCAAAACGGTACGCCAAAGGGTACCGGTACTGGTTCATACCATTCCAATTATAGAAACCGTACACAAACTGGTACAGTATGCATATCTCTGTCATATACACGGTTGAACTATGCCAAAAGTTGTCTTGCCCTTTTTTTTTTTGGCTGCAGTGTTACCCCAAGTAACATGTAGTGACATATTTCATATTCTTCAAACTCTTCTATTTATGGTATCGACGTTATTATGTGCAGTCGCAAATATTGTACAAAAATATCTATGTACATGCATTTGTATCGTGTAGTTCTCTTAAAATTTAATTTGAAGTTGTTTGTATTATTATAGGCTTACCTGAGTCAAATGGTTACATATATATTGAGGCAAATGGTGGCTTGAATCAGCAAAGGACATCGGTAGTTTTTGCTTCGCTCGTATTTTATATTTTTTAAATGTTTAAGCCTACATAGTATTATAGTTTTTGCCTTATTCATATTGGTGTTCCATTGAAGGATTTCAATGTTGTAGCTTTATTCACTTGCATTCTCTGCATGTTGCTATCTGTGTGTTGTAGATATGCAATGCTGTTGCTGTGGCTGGCTATCTTAATGCAACTCTTTTAATTCCCAATTTTCATTATCACAGCATTTGGAAAGATCCCAGGTTTTTCAGTATTTCCATTTTCTGTCTACATTTTTTTTTTTTGTAAAAGCATTCTGGAAGGAAAAAGTTCTGATGACATGTGACGTCTATGTAAATCATATTTTGGTAAAATTGTGTGCCCATCATGATACTATTTCTCTTGCCAAAAACATTCAGCCGCCCTTATAAGTTTTTAGAACATCAATTGTCCTAAAAGCATGGAAATATCTATGTATAATTTTGACAATACTGATTGGTATAAAATTTATTTGCAAGCATGCAAATATCATCAATTTTGAATGATCTAGAATCATTCATAGGATTTAAACATGAACTAAGAACATGCAATCATAACAGGAATATTATTCACCCAAAAAATCATAACAGGAATATCTATGTCATGTTTTCCACAAAATAATTGAACTTTCTCCAACAAAGAAGCTCGTTCATCTTTTTATTTTTGTTGTGGACACTAGATGCATTGCATTCAATATATCTTGGGATTTACTTTGCTAAACTGAGCTAATATCATAATGCTCATAATATCTCTCATAAGATGTAAGATAAACACAAATTCAAAAGACGTAATCGCACCTTAATTTTTGTTTGTATTTGCACATTGTGTGGAAGTGGCTCCATTGTTAATAAACCCCAAGGCAAATGGCCAAGTGGTAAAGCCTGGAGGATAAAATCCACAGGTCTCAAGTTCCAGTCACACCTTAGGGCCACTGGAGGTTTGCCTGGTCGTTAACTTCAGCGCCCCGAGATTAGCCGAGGTGCGAGAAAGCTGGCTCGGACACTCGGATATCAAAAAAAAAAAAAAAAACTTGGCGTGCTAGTTTGTAAAAAAAAAAAAAAAAAAAAAGTGGCTCCATTGTTAATGACATTACTTAAGAATGAACAAGTTGCACTGAGCACTTGATATATTTATCAAATTGCAAATGGAGCCCAATTTAGAACCCTAACTAACAAGTATCTCCAACTAGTTTCAATGTGCCAATTTGATTATTCCCTTTATCAGTCTCAACCTCATCTTGGTAACTTTTTCTGCAATTTATGCAACTCTCAATTAATCATGCCTTTTGCATGAAAAGTTGACTAGATTGATTGTGAGAGTCGAATTAGAAGGGGGGAAAAAGGGCAATGTGTATAACCTCTCTTGCTGCTGATATCAGCAATAATTACAGTCGATGAACAAAAAAATGAACGTAATATGCTAAGCGTCACTCATTAAGAAATAAGGCATGTTAAGTGTTTTTTGGGTTTGTTGCATGTTTGAGTGGTTATGTGTTGAACTTTCTTTCATAGTTGAATACCATTTTGATTTAATTATCATGATATTTGTAATTTCTAGTACTGATTGACCACAAAAGAAAAAAAAAAGAAAAAGAAATAAAGAAATAAAGCTTGCAATCTAGTCCATTCTTTTTTCTTTTTTTTTTGGGTTCAGTAATCCAATCCAATCCAGTCCATTTTGTATACACGTTACTAATACCATCATATTCAGCAAGAATTTTGTGCCGAAAGATTATGACGAGAAAGGACAATACCATTAATATTTTGTGCACTATGCTTGCAATCCACATCTTATTGTGACAAACTTTTATAATTTGAAAATATTCATAACAAATACAATAATAAGGGTTATTTTCGAAACTTTGGGGAGTAGTTGCCCCCAAGTCGTCCCTCACCACCTGCCACTCCCCTCCTCGTATGTCCATCCCTGCTAATGAGAATTATTTGTTGAGTAACTATGCATAGTGATTTCATTCAACTCTAACCTAGGAGCCTAATGTCAGGGTATTGCTATTTAGCTATCTTACATGTGTATATGTGTCTGTACTTCTAGCTCAATACTTGTCTCATACTCTCAAATGCAGAGGGTTATATAATTATATTGCTTACCGTTCCATTATCCTTTTGAGCCATCTTTTCTTTTTCTTTTTATTTATTTATTTATTTATTTTTTTTTTGAGCCATCTTGATAAGTCCAATGGCATGGAAACATGCCTACTGCATTTCATTTTGTCATAAACTGTTCTGTACTTCCTGTTTGTTATTATGATGACATACTGCCTTAGAGCGAAAAATGTTTTTTATTGGCAAATTGGAAAGAAATGTGGCAGTTTGGACGAAGCACTTCATGTCTGGAAAAACCCACGTTACTCTCTTAATAGATATATGGATTGCATGGATCTCTTATTAGGATGATTGATTAGTGGTGTCATGAGTTTCCACAAATGTGTATTATGTAAAAGGTGTGAGGTTTTTGGCAGACGAGTTAATAGTGGCTTCAGGGGGATATATGGTGTGGAGGGATTTCAATTAGGAGGAAATATATGTAAAGTTTTGTGTTGTCTGGTATATTGCTAGGTTTGGTATGGTGCGTTTTCCTTTTTAAACGAATAATCCTTTGAATTTGGACATTTTTTAGTTTATTGGAATGAGTTTGTGCCTGAAGGTTTAGTTATGGTTGCTGGTTCTAGCATTTATCCAATGTGGATATTGGTAATATTTTCTTTCCAATGTATTTTATTTACAGACAGGAGTGCTATTTTCTTTCCAATGTTCCTCGAATCCACTGCTATTTTCCTCGACAGGAGAGATATTATTAAGGCTTCTGGTTCTCTTTGCCATGTAGTTGCTTGACTTGACCAATGGAAGCCTCCTTACCTTTATCTAGATCATCTTTGAAGGTTGCTCTTTAAGGAATCCAGGAGAGTTGGTGTGGGATAGGGGTGTAATTTTTTTTTTTGAAGAATGATAACGGAACTATTGTGCAGGTTTGGGGAATGCAATTAGAGGAGAGTGTTTAGTGTTTTTTTTTTTTTTTTTTTTTTGTTTTTTTTGATTTGATTAAGCTTATGGTTTCAGAATGTTTTGGTATTTTGCTTTAAAGTACATTCTGTTATGGAATATTCTCGTTTTTGTATGGAAGTCATTTCTTGAAGATAAGTAAATGAATGTGAAGTTGTTGATTGACATTGCTTTCTTATCCTATAGTGTTCAGAAATTCTGCCTTCTGTTGTTTCATTCTTAGTTTCATTATTGCATGGCTATATAATGGTCAATGTGTAAATAATATGTTGTGAGTATTCACTATAGGATTATGTTTCTCATAGTTCTTCCACTATAAGGTTATGTTTCTCACTGGTTATATAGAGTTCAATATTAAACTGTTCAATGATATGTTGTGTAGACTTCATATAAAACAGAAGATTCATTTCCTTCTAGCCCGAAATGTTTGACTCTGTTGTGCAGCAAATTCGAAGACATCTATGATGAAGCTTATTTCATTAGTACCTTGGAAAACGATGTACGGATAGTTGACAAGATTCCTGAGTATGTCATGGAACGATTTGACCACAATTTGAGCAATGTATACAACTTCAGGATAAAGGCATGGTCACCCATTCAGTACTATAAGGATACAGTTCTTCCAAAGCTACTTGAAGAAAAGTGAGTTGAACTAGATGTTTTGGCCCTGCCCTCGTACCTATTCCAATTCCAACTTTCTTGCTCTTTTTATACATATTTATACATGGATAAATGATGTATGCTTGTATTCTTCTGGTTTTAGTCATTCTTTCTTCTGGTTGTACATTTTTCAGGGACTTATTTTGTTTTTACATATCTGTTACCAAGTTGTTGCAAAATATGTACTCCAATGATTGGGCTAAAATATATTTTACTTGTCTGGCAGCATGTAACTTTTCCCGCCTTTCTTATGTGTGAACAGAGTGCAGTGTTCATTTAAATTAACTTGAAATGTCTGTCCTGTAAATGTTTAATTTAGGTTCATAAGGATTTCTCCTTTTGCAAATCGATTGTCATTTGATGCTCCTCCAGAAGTTCAACGGCTTAGATGCTTGGCAAATTATGAAGCTTTAAGGTTTTCAAATCCTATATTAACTATTGGTGAAGCTCTCGTTGCAAGAATGAAAGAACGCAGTGCAAATAATAGTGGCAAATATGTTTCTGTGCATCTTCGCTTTGAGGAGGTCAGTTTTCACACTGTTTGAACTACTTTATTTTGATTGATACTTATTATGACCACCCACAATAAGATATCATCAATGTTGGTAGCAGTATTGATTATCTTCCATCAGTGGAACTTGTAGCAGTAGTGGTATGGCGTGCATTCCTGGACTGGTTGGGCAGGGATTCGACACCCATACTGTGTTAGAAGGAATTACTGAAGTTCTTAAAAATATTAAATGGAGTGTTGATTATCTTTTCATGTGCAGGATATGGTTGCTTTCTCTTGTTGTGTCTTTGATGGTGGTGCCAAAGAGAAGAAAGACATGGATGCTGCAAGGGAGATAGGTTGGAAGGGGAAGTTCACCAAACCTGGTCGAGTTATTCGTCCTGGAGCATTCAGGCTCAATGGGAAATGCCCCCTTACTCCTGTGGAGGTAATATCTATTGCTTTATAAAGCCCTTTTTTTATTGCCCTTAAAGTTCATAATTATTTCACAATTTTTTTTTCTGTATATTGTCATTATATGGCAATAAATTGTTGCACATCTATATTTTGTTCTAATGGATCTAAAGTCACCATTTGTATCATTATCTCACTGTTTTTCATGTGCACATCTGTGACCTTTGGCCTTGTTTGATTAGTACGATTAATAGTGAAGGAATTAACAATCATGAGATTAGTGCAGGATTGGTTATTAGTGGGATAAATAATATTTTCCTTTTCACGTTTGTCTTGCGATAGATATGGAAATATATAATCCCAATTATATGTTTATTTTGCATGGTCAGTTGTAGGATTAAAAAATTGCCAGTTTTGTTGGATGGAATGTCCATCGATCATAATCTAATTCGGATAACAAAAGTTGTAACCAAATACTAGAATGTGAGCCCCAATCAATAATCCTAATTATATGCTATACTCAGGCCAATCAAACATGCCCTTTTGTACTAGAATCTATTTGAGCAGCACTGACTCTACTTTTGCTTCTTAATATATGTAATTTTTTTTGATAAGTTAATTACTCCTCTTTTTTTTTTTTTTTTTTTTTTTTTTTTTTTTTTTTTTTTTTTTTGGGTTTAGTTAGTAAATGTAATAATTTCATTAAAAGATGACATTAATGGCATGCCACCTGTATAGAAAAGAGGAGAGTAAATAACAAAACAATCCTATACACTTTGTTTTGTATCAAAATGCTCCACAAAATTCAAAAATTGGTTAAGAGAGGAATTAACGATCAGAGACACCCTACTATACAAAAATCTTACAAAAGAACTTTTCAACCTATATGAAGGACTATCTATACCATCAAATGATTTCACTCGCCCTAAATAATCCTTATAAGACACGAGGGATCAAGACCCACAGCCATCTATGAAGAATGTCTTTCTCACTCATAGGAATGCCTGTGCCATCTTGAACCAAGATAGATCTGAATTTCAAAGAGTTCTTGCCACTTGGCAGTGGATGAGAAAATATTTAGCAATTTGCCGTCTTGTTTGCACATACAACAACAATTTACATCACCTTCTATTTTTGGATCAAATTAACTACAGTGAGAATTTACCAAGAGCTGCATACAAACCAGAAAATGCCACATTAGGAGGATCCTTAGGACTCCAAATGTTTTCCAAGGGATAACAATTGTGAGTGCCAATCAAAGCCTCATAGAAAGATTTAACCTAAAGCACACGGATCTGGTTAGCCTCCATCTCAAGGAGTCTTTTCTCGTCACAATTCTAGACATGCAATACAATCTCTTAAGAAGCTCCATGAGCTCAATCATCTCCTAGTCTTGGAACTCTCAAAGTACCAAGATAACCCAAAACCCTTTTCCCTTTCTATGCAAGTACTCGTCTACTGTGGCATTCTTGTCAACAATATCATGGGAAAATGTCCCAAAAAAAAAAAAAAAAAAATCCACTAACCTCTCGTTTTCGTACCATAATATGTTAATCCAAAACTTGTTCTTCTCCCTCCCATTCCCAACCACCATGTTGGCATACTTCTCAAACTTATGCCACACCATTATGGTGCCCTTCCAAAGCCCCCCTGCTACATGGCATATTGACTCCCAAAGAGGCCCACTCCTTCCATTCACACTAATGCAACCAAGAATTGGAAAATTTTATATTTGAGGAATTTTTTATTATTATTTTAGTTACTTTTCTATGTTACTTGATTTCAACTTTATTTAAGGCAATTGTCAAATCTAAAGTTGAGTAAATTTAGGTTTAGTCTACGAAGCACATGCACATTTAAGAAGGTAATGTGTTGTGTCCGACACCATGTCAAACACGACATGATCGGGCACTTTCCAACACTTAGACAAATGTGAAACACATTATAAGTTTGAATAAAACAACTTGGTATCCATAATAAAACAAAAACTTGAATAAAACAACTTGGTATCCATAATAAAACAAAAACTATGTAAAGTTTTACCTAAACTCTTCCTTTGGACTCTAAAAATTATTTATATTTGATTTAAATATTCATATACATGACAAACCAAACCAAACCAAACCAAACCAAACCAAGCCTTAAGTCCCATCAAATGGGGTCGGTTACATGAATCCTTCTTCTCCACGAGGCCCTATCAAAGGCCATTTTATTAGTCAAATTAAGTAGATTCATATCTCTATTTATAACACTAGTCAACATTAATCTACGCTTACCCCGTCCCCTAACACTTCCATCTACCATTACAGCATCGCATCTCTTCACTACTGCCTCTGTTGGTCTCCGTTGTATATAACCAAACCATCTCAAACGATTCTCTCTCAACTTATCTTCTATCGGTGCTACTCCTACCCATTCCCGAATACACTTATTCCTAATCCTGTCCTGTCTAGTCTTACCACACATCCACTTTAGCATCCTCATCTCAGCCACACTCATCTTATCTACATGATGTTTCTTGGTTGCCCAACACTCCGTCCCATACAACATAGCTGGTCTAATAGCCGTTCTATAAAACTTACCTTTTAGTTTAGTGGGTATTCGTTTATCGCACAATACCCCAGACGCACTTCTCCACTTACACCATCCCGCCTTAATCCTATGTGCCACATCTGCATCAATCTCTCCCCGTTGTTATGATAATCGACCCATAAATAACGAAAATGTTCACTCTTAGACAGTTCTTGGTCTCACATTTTCACTTCTCCTCTACTTTCATTGTTATTGTTACTAAATTTACACTCCATGTACTCTGTCTTAGTTCTGCTTATCCGGAATCCTTAGATTCAAGAGCTTTTTCCCAAATTTCAACTTTGTGTTAACTCCTTCTCTAGTCTCATCCACTACCAATATCATCTGCAAAAAGCATACACCATGGCCGTCATCCTGAATATTATCGTCAACTCGTCCATAACTAAAGCAAAAAGATAAGAACTTAAGGTAGATCCTTGGTGTAACCTACAGTGATAGGAAATTCATTTGTCTCTCCAGCTGGCGATCTAATAGTGGTCACCACCCCTTCATACATGTCTCTAATCACGTCAATGTAGCTTTAGTCACCCCTTTCTTCTCTAACACCCACCATATTTATATCTCGGGGCACTCTGTCATATGCTTTCTCAAGGTCGATAAACACCATATGAGTCTCTTTTCTTTTCTTTATACTTTTCTATTACTCTCCTCAAAAGATATATCGCTTCCATTGTTGACCTACCAGGCATAAACCCAAATTGATTCACTGACACCTCTATTATGTCTCGCAATCGGCGTTCCATCACCCTCTCCCACACTTTCATTATATGACACATTAGCTTGATTCCTCTATAGTTGTTACAATTCTGGAATCACCTTTATTCTTATAGATTGGCACTAAAATACTCTTCCTCCACTCATCTGGCATGTTCCTAGTCAACAAAATTTTGCTAAACAAACCTAGTCAACCAAGCAACTCCCGTTTTACCCAAACACTTCCAAGCTTCAATAAGGATATCAGTGGGTCCTAAAGCCTTATTTGATTTCATCTTCTTAAGTGCAATCTCCACTTCAAAGTTCCTAATCCTGCGATAGAACCTATAGTCTTGGTTTATCGTATTACTAGCTATTTCTTCCCCTATTGTCGTACTTCCATGTTCCTCATTTAACAGTTTCTCAAAATAATTCTTCCATCTTTCTTTAATCTCATCATCCTTCACCAATACCTAGTCAAACAAAATTTTGCTAAACAACCTAGTCAACCAAGCAACTCCCGTTTTACCCAAACACTTCCCAACTTTCAATAAGGATATCATCGGGTCCTAAAGCCTTATTTGATTTCATCTTCTTAAGTGCAATCTCCACTTCAAAGTTCCTAATCCTGCGATAGAACTATAGTCTTGGTTTATCGTTATTACTAGCTATTTCTTCCCCTATTGTCGTACTTCCATGTTCCTCATTTAACAGTTTCTCAAAATAATTCTCCATCTTTCTTTAATCTCATCATCCTTCACCAATACCTTAGAATCCTCACTCTTGATGCACTTTACTTGATTAAAATCTCTTCTTTTCCTCTCCCGTATCTTAGCAAGCGTTGTATACCCTCTTCTCTCCCTCCTTACTATCTAGTCTAGTGTATAGGTCATCATAAACTTTCAACTTAATCTCTCTCACTACTTTCTTGACCTCCTTATTAGCCAATCTATAGCTCTTAAGGTTTTCCTCAGTTCTATCCTTCTGCCACTTTTTAAAGCACTCTTTTTTTGCCTTAACTACCGCTTGGACCTCTTCCCTCCACCACCAAGTTTCCCTAGAGCTGGGTCCCGTTCCTTTCGACTCTCCAAGCACTTCCCTTGAGATTCTCCTCATACAATTGGCCATCGAATTCCACATAGTGTTAGCATCACCTTCTAAGTCCCAAGTACCTTCCTTATCCATTCGATTCTTAAATATTTCTAGTTTATCCCCTTTTAAGTCCCACCATCTCGTCCTACGACGCCCACCATCCTTCCTAGCTTGGTATTGCCCTCTAAAACATAAATCTAGTATTAAAATCCTATGTTGAGCGACCAGACTCTCTCCAGGAATCACCTTACAATCATTGCATTTTAGGCAGTCCACTTTTCTCACTAAGAAGTAATCTATTTGGCTCTTAACTAATCCACTCTTAAAGGTTATCAAATGCTCATCCCTCTTCTTATACATAGTATTAGCCACCACCAAGTCAGAAGCCAACGCAAAATCTAAGATTCTCTCACCCGCCTCATTTCTGTCACCAAAACCGTATCCACCATGCACCCTTTCATAACCTACTTTATCTATGCCCACATGGCCATTAAAATCTCCACCTATAACCAGGTTCTCTCCTACGGGTATCTCCTGTAAGATCTCATCCATTTGCTCCCAAAAATCCCTCTTAGTCTGATCATCTAACCCTACTTGAGGGGCGTAAGTGCTAATAATGTTCACTATATTCCCTCCAATAATTAGTTCAACTAGCAT